GCAGATATAATAGGTGGAGGCTCCGGCAGAGGATGGATAACCGGGAGGAGGCCGGCAGACAGAGACCAGGGTGGCGACGAAGGAGGGAGGAGCCAGGGAGGAGACAGGAGGGACCCGGAGCAGGAGGAGCTCAGCAGGACCCAGGCCACAGCCATAACAGCGGGCCACGGTGGAGCCGACGGTGGGAGAAGCAGGCACTGGAGAGAGCTCTTGGGCTGGAGCCCTTCCTGGGCGGAACTGGGGATCAGGAGCCCTTCCTGGGCTAAACGAGGAATCAGGAGCCCTTCCTGGGCTTAACGAGGAATCCGGAGCCCTTCCTGGGCTTAATTGGGGATCAGGAGCCCTTTCTGGGCTTAACGAGGAATCAGGAGCCCTTCCTGGGCTTAACAAGGAATCAGGAGCCCTTCCTGGGCTAAACTGGGGATCGGGAGACATTCCTAGGCTCGACAGGGGATCGGGACCCATTCCTAGGCTCGACAGGGGATAGGGAGCCATTCCTAGGCTCGACAGTGGATCGAGAGCAATTCCGAGGCTCGACAGGTGACCGGGAGCCATTCCTAGGCTCGACAGGGGATCGAGAGCCCCTCCCGGGCTAAACGAGGAATCGGGAGCCCTTCCCGGGCTGAATTGAGGATTCCGAGGTCTCTCCTCCTCCTTTTGATCCTGAATTCCCTTCCTATTCTGGCCCTTATGTCCCGTCATAGTCAGCTCACCCTCAGCCATGATGCAGGGGGCGGAGCTCCTCTCCGCGCTCACACCGTCCACAGCTTGCTCCCTCGTGGTGGGCACTGTCACCGGCTCTCGCACCTGGTCTGACGGGTTGGGCTCAACATCCAAGGCGATCCTCCGCTCCGTCGTTTGGCTTCGATCTGGCTCGCGGATCGCAGCGGGAAATGGCTCTCCGTCATCGGTGGGCTCAGGCTGATGCTCCGTACTGCGGGGAGATGGTGGGCTGGGCTCTGGGTCCGAAGTGGATCCGGCGAGATCATCCACGGGGCCGATGGTGAGTGGCGATCCATTTCTCGCCAGAGTCCACTCCACGAAGGCGGCAAATTCCTCCCGAGGACCATCTTCGGACGACTGCGCACTGCACTTGGTGTTCAGACTTGCCTCATAGAAAGCGCAGAGTGCGTCGTCCGGATAGCTGGTGACGTTAGCGGCCATCAGGAACCGTCTGGCATGGTCCTCGAGAGTCCTGCCCTCCTGCTCCGGCAGGAGAAGGAGGAATTCGGGGCGCGTGAAGGGATCCATGGGGTAAACACAACGGAAAGAAAAACACTGAGGAAAAACCGGAAAACAAACGGAGGGGAGAACACGGAAGTTAAACTGTTTTTGGGTCGGTTATTCTGTCACGGGCAGGGTGTTCCAGAGACCAGGCAGGACGACGAAGATGACGAATAAAAGGATATTTAATGATATGACAACAGAAGATCCAGACAGGGTAGACATCAACACACAGGGTAACATTCACAATAACCGACCACAGGGGTGTGACAGCCGCAATGTATGCAGCTCGATGGTGCACATTTGTCTTATACTAGTTTATCTCCTGACCATTTTGCTCTGTACTGTCTACAGCACTTGTCGCAATATTTTTCGAGATCACACTGAGATCTCGCCCCTTCACTTTGTGGTTGTTTATGCATTTCATAACAGAAGTCAGATCTACAATATCTCAAACAATCAGCGCATTGCTCCAATTTCTCACAATGTGTATAACACAACGGATTATTGGACACGTTGCACGTTAATTTGCAATAATGTGAACTACGATCGTTAAACCCGCGATAGCAGAACTCAAAAAAACATACCCGTACCCTAAGAACCCCTTCAAATTCTTTACCGTGTAGTAATGATAATCGTGGAGATATACAGGTGCATCTCAATAAATTAGAATGTCGTGGAAAAGTTAATTTATTTCAGTAATTCAACTCAAATTGTGAAACTCGTGTATTAAATAAATTCAATGCACACAGACTGAAGTAGTTTAAGTCTTTGGTTCTTTTAATTGTGATGATTTTGGCCTAATTTATTGAGATGCACCTGTAAATGCACAGTCTTCGGCTGTGTTTCATCTGTATTTTTATACACTTCCAATTTACTTGAGCACGATCTGTGAAAGACGACTATTTTTAGGTCTAACCGTGATTCAAATTTAGAAACATCATGAAATGCAATTTTGTCTCGCGGATCATAACGCAGATCTGTATGTATGTTGTTGGCTATTCTCACCAATTCCTGGTCGGGACATTGAGGGTTTAATGCATTTACTAATGTTAACAAATGAGACCTTTATTATAAAGTGTTACCAAAACCTTTAATGATTTATGAATTTTTTTTTTACGATTTTATTGATCTATAAGCATTTGTGAAATATTTTTGTTTCAGCTTTTTTCAGCTCCCAGATGAAGACTAAGCTGTAATTTCCAGCATTACAGCTTAGTCTTCATCTGTGAGCTGAACTGTTTTACTGTTACATCCATGAGATTATGTAAATTCAGATGAATGTCGTGTCACAGGATGTCATAGGTCAGTATCAAATGAGTGTCAAATTATTATTTGCAGCACAAAAATGTATGTCCACGTGTATGTACCTTTAGATCTTTTTATGTTCTAATTAACATAATTATTAACCTAATTATATAAAATTGTTGTCAGTGCCCTACAAATTAACTGGTTCTAAGACTTTTTTGTCCCTAAAACTGACATAAAATAATAAGGCCTAAGAGATTTCTTAAGCTGTAATGCAGGCAAAATCACACAGATATAAATTAATAGACCATTAAACCATAAAGAGTTTAAATAGACTCTCTCTCTCTCTCTCTCTCACCCACCCCCACATTCAACACACACACTCACCCACCCCCACCCGCACACACACTTATGTCCACACGTACACGGGGGTTTTTATAAAAGTTTTTCCTTCTTCCGTTTTAAAAAAAATCTCCATCCACATGAAAACGCAAATGCATGCTTTGAAGCACTGTCAAGAGCATGCCAAACCAACAGGTGTTGTTGCAGCCATGTTGGCCAATCAGAAGCCTGAAAAAGTTTCCAGTAGGCGGAGATAACAGCGCAAGCTCCGACGTCACAAGCCAAAAACTCCGGTGTCGCTGTCTACACGATAGCACTACAACTGGAGTTTTTGAAAATCTTCACCCTGGAAGGCGTTTTCAAAAATGTTCAGTTTCAGTGACCTGATGCTGCGTTTGCGTGTGGACGAACGGCCAAACCGCGTAAAAAATAGCTGCGGTTTTAAAAATAGCCGCGTTCGTGTGGACAGGGCCTTAGAGGTAGAGTGGGATCAGATGTCTGATAGTTTTTTAATTTTCTGTTATCCATAGAGCTTTGTAAATTAATAAAAACCAAGCATTTTTTCCTCAAAATGACTTGTTCTCTGTAAGTAAAAAGTTTAGAAGAGTTTGGATAATGCACTTTAAACATATAAGACAATTACTGTTTCCTTTAATAAATTGCCACGGCAACACTGTTCAAGATATCCAAAATCCATTCGCAATTTAAGTTCCTCAATGTTTTGCAATCTTGTTGAAAAAGTTTTGTGTGAATTTTATGATTTTCATAGGACTAGTATGCATTAATTCATAGCCATATTTTTCAAAAAATCCACATTCAAATCAAAATAGCCTACTTCCTGTTGGTCATAGCTAATGACTGTAAATTAGAAAGTTGTCCGGCTTGATGAGAACAATACATGTACCAAGTTTGGTGACTGTAGCTAAAATTAACCTCCCAAGTTTTGTCAAAAGGTGGTGCTCTTTCACGCCATTTTATGAGCTTTTGCCAGTGTCTATCTATCATTAATACTGATATGTGTGTTGAGTTTCATGAAATTCTAAGCATGTTATCTACCTCAAAATCACCAGAAAAGAATATTCAAGTTTGACACATTGCCATGGCAACAGTATTTTATATATCAATAATCCCTTCACAGTTTTACATCGGCCCTGTTTTGACATTATTCTGATGAAGTTTGAAGCAAATCGAGTAAAACTAAGATGCTGAATTCAAAGAATTTTGAAAATGACACACTTCCTGTTGCCAGGTGGTGGTGCTATAACTTCGACTCCTAATAGTCACATCTATGCGATCGGCATCATACAATGAACAAACCACTGAAGTTTGATCAAAACGAGATAATACATGTGGATATTATTAGACACTTCCTGTTTCTCATTTCTCATCATAACTTCATCGCCTCACCACAGGCAAACCATTCGAGATATCAAAAATCCCTTCACAATTTAGCATCCCCAATGTTTTGAGATCATTTTCACAGAGTTTGGTGGCAATCGGTTTGAAATCCTCAGAGGAGTATATCAAATTCCAGAGCATGTGCTTTTACCAAGCCCTAAATAGCCAACTTCCTGTTGGGCGGAGCCTATGACATGCAGTGCAAATGTTCGGCTCAATGAGATCTATATGTGTACCGAGTTTCATATGAATACGTGCAAGTATGTGTGAGATACACATCAAGTTTTCTGACTGTGTTCCAGGGGGTGCCGTAGAGCCCCTGTGCCACGCCCGGGTCCCAGCCTCTGCGGCATCCTAATGGCAGCAGATTTAAACCTGTGTGCCAATTTTCAAGAGTTTTTGAGCATGTTAAGGCCCCCAAAACCCCCCGGAAATTTAAAAAAAAAATCCTTAGGGGATCAATAGCCGCGTTTCCACTGTCGGGCCAAAAGTAGGCGTCACTTCCGGGGCTTGATCGTGCCTCGTCGGTGCTTTCTCGGGGCCAACGGCCTGGGTTTTTTAGTCCAACAAAAACCTTGGGCCAAAGCAGGCTAGCTGGGGCTAGAGGAGTGGTTATGAACAAAGGCGGAGTTTCTCCGTGTCTAGAGAGCGTCAGCGCCGCGGATCATTTCAGAAAGTTAACAGCTAACACCAGCATTAAAGACTTTTAAAAAAAAATTTGCTCAAAACTCACTTTCAGACAGCAGCAAGTGTTTGAAATAACTTCTGTTTGAGATCCGATGTGAATTATGATCACCATCCAAGGTATAAATATTTACAAGCGACGCAAAAGACTATGCACACTAGCCATTAGTAAATATGGTAAATAACCTACGACCACTTGAAGAAATCAGATGTCAGCTTCTCATTCAGACTATCACAATCGTGTATTTATTTAGTAACGTATTTGATCTGTCTCGTCTCCAGACTTTAGCTCTGCGTATGTCATAAAAAATATCATAATTGTTTTTGTTCAGGAGCTCCCTCTCAAGTCGTATTTTTTGATGGAAAGAATATAGAAATTATCATTCTTTCTAAATGTGATGTATACTGTGACTACAAATAAACAGAAACAGACTCGACTATGTGTCCTCTTTCTTTTGTGAAATAACTGTTCATACCGCTTTATTTCTGTGTGACTAATTTTGAATCCTGATAAATTAATTCATTATTATCAATGTATCACTTATTATTGTAAAACATCAATGCTTTTGGATTTAAATCTTTAACAAAACATGCAAACAAATGGCCACTTTCATCATGTTCGCTTTGTGATCGCGCTAGTTCCAGTGACTTATTTCTTATTAGTTTTCTGATAACTTCTCTTTGTTGGTGAAATGATGGGGATGCGTGACGTTGTTCCAGAGAGGCGTGTAAAGGGCAGGTTTTAGTGAAGCGCAGTGGAGCTTCTGGCCCGATTTTGGGCTCGGTGCTAAAGGTCCGAGGCTATTAACCCCACCCGGCCCGTTTAAAGCACTGGCCCGACAGTGGAAAAGCGGCTAATAGGGCCCTGCGTCTTAGTGGCTTTGGCCCTAAAAATAATAATCCTTAGGGAATCAATAGGGCCCTGCGACTTAGTGGCTTGGGCCCTAAATATAGGCTGTGAAAGAAAAACAAAAACACCAGCATTAATCAATGTTGCTCTTGGACATCAAATATGATTGATATCATATTGTATTGCTTATGTGTTTTGTATGATGTTTACAAATTTTATGCTGCACCAATAATCGCCCTTTGGGCTTAATAAACTTAAACCCAAAGGGTGATTATTATTATAATAAACTTTGAACCTTGAACCTTGAACCTTGATGTGCATAAAAGGGCATCTTGCATTGTTTATCAGTTTGTGAATTTTCCTCTTCAATATTATGTTGACAGAACAACACATGTCAGGTAAAGCCGACAAGACTAATTATTTCATTGAAACAACTCTTAATTTAAGTTTCAGTTAGTACATGCATTTGTTAAGTAATATGCACAAGAGAGGATTCAGCAAAATTGACAACAGTGAAAGTTGCTTACTGGTTGTTTAGGGAATATATTCTGGTATGTAACAGAGAGTCTCATCTTCACAGGGTGGGTGTCTGATGCTGAAAACTGCAGTTATGCAGCTTATTCTTCAGCTTACAAGGAAATTTTTGAACATCTTGGCTTCGACAAGACTAACATTCTAACGACGGACATGCGGCCTGTATACTGGAGCCCTACTACCGATGTTTATGTGGATCTATATGTGACCTCCATCATAGATGTGGTATGAGTCCAGCATGACTGATCTTTTCATACAGATTATAATGTCAAACAGTTGTTGTATCATAATTTTACAATTTATCTACAGAATGAAAAAGCCCAGAGCCTCACAACACAGGTCAAAATTATAACTGTAAGTGATTTATTAATCTATTTTGCTCTTATTTCACAAAGTGTTACTTAGTTTACAAAACTTTGTTGGATATAACCATCAGATTTGTTTGAATATCAGTGATTTCACTCTTGTAGATCCATCACAAGTAGTCCAATAGTTGCTTGACAAATGGATGTTTGACCTTAATATCTCAGATCAGGATGTTCCTCAGTTTCTCACTTGGCATTAACATGCAACCTGTATCCGGATGTTGTCCACATATATATTGAAAAGACAAGTGTAAACGTGCTTCTGATCGGAATGTTATCCGTTAATGTTATTATGTCCTGGTCCAGAGGTAGTTGATGACGAATTGCGATCAGATCTCAGTGAAATGTAAATGCAGTCCAGCCATCGTGTCTGCATTCGTAGGTCAACGTCACGCAAAACCCTGCCAGAAGAGAGATATTGAACACCAGGCTGTGGAGTGCTAGTGAGACTCGTACATTTATATATTTGATTTGTAAAATGTCCTACGACTGAAAATGGTTTTTACAAGAAAACCTACCACTTCAGGTCGACTTTGCACCGGGGCCATTCTCTGCAGACTTATTTAAATATTGTGCGGGAAAGACAGATCCGATCGGTTATCCAGTTAGAGAAGTCAGTTGATGTTGCCAAGTGTAAACGTGCCGTGTGCTGTTTGATTTGCTTGATCGGATCACGGTGATCACATGTTAATACCAAGTGTAAATGCAGCCTAACTCATCCATGGCTCACCATTGCATCATGTATTCTGTATATGGTGCACACTATGGGTCAGCTGCATGTTACAAATGCTGGCAGTGTGAAAGCAGTAACATGGGCGTGCTGCTTATGCATCCAGTGTGAAACAGGCATGTCTAAGAAGCATGAATGTACAAAATATAATGTACTCTATAGAGCAGTGTTCCTCAATCCAGTCCACTGGATCCACCTCAGAGAATGTATTATGTCTTCCTATTTAAAACACGAACAAGCTGATGAGCTGAATCAGGTGTTTTAATTAGTGAGACATCTTAAACATTTTGGGTGGTGGGTCCCCAGGGTCTAAGTTGAGAAACACTGCTCTAAAAAATTGTTTTTGTTTTCAGGAGCTAAGGTCATCCTGAGCTGAGATACTGAGGTTTCCATAAACACGTATATACCCAGCAAACACTAAATGTTCCCCTAAAGTTAGTATTTGTCATAACATTCTAGAAATGTGCTTTTTTATTTATTTATTTATTTATGTATGTATGCATGTATGTATTTATTTGTATTTTTTGCAACCATAAAATAATGTCCCAAGAGTGATGCACGGAAGTTATATTTAAATAAAGTAAAGATACAATAACGTTTACAGAATGTTGCAGGGTAGTCAATTTTAATAATAACCTAAAAATAACTTATGCAAAATGTTCCCTAATGATTTTAAATTATTATTTAGCAACAATATTAGCAACAATATTCTTACAATATTGCAGATATTTTAAATAACCTTTAAATAACTTAACCGTAACAGAACGTACTCTAATGTGTGTGTGTGTGTGTGTGTATATATATATATATATATATATATATAGTATATGTGTGTGTGTGTGTTATATTATATAGGATACTTCTAACCATGTAAACTACCCTTCCCAATTAAAACATTTAATATGTTTTTGTGTAATGAACTATACAAAGCTCTGGAATTAATACAGCTTTTAATAAAATATAGAAATTAGATAAATCAAAATATGTTGTAATGATCAGATAAATCCAACTTTATAGCCAAAATATTAAGCCATGAAAAGCCATGTGAAAAGTACAGAATGCATAATTTCAAAAGAGTTGGTTTCTGTCTTCATCATTCTCTTTCAGCGCACATGTGCTTCTCCAGCACGTGCTTTCCCCTTTTTTCCACAGAAAGCCACACACTCACATAATTAAAAAATTAGTGGTCATTTAATTTTACTGGCTTACTGACTAACATTCTTTTATTGATTTCTTTATCGATTAATTACTTCGAATTAGCATAAATATGAAAGTAAATATGATTTCAGAGAGATTTGATACAACTAATTGAAGAGAACATGATATTAATCGAGAAGGTTTTCTTTACGGACCAAAAGAGAGAAGCATGTTCCATTAAAACTAATAGTGCTGCTGAAGGAATGTAAAATATGGGTACCCCATCTAGTAAATCTTACATAATAATGCTTCAGCATCCTGTACCTCCTGTAGTTTGTCTCCGTGCCTCTAGAGGCCCCCTGTGTTCCCCTTAGCCTTAAATAAATCTACATTTCCTGGCATACTGCCTCGAGTGTTTCCGTGCTTTTCGACTGCATGGTACGGCACGGTACGGCTCGGTACGGTTCCCTTTTGGGGGGTTTTCCACTGGGTACAGTACCTGGTACCTGGTACTTTTTTTTAGTACCACCTCGGTTGAGGTTCCAAGTGAACCGTACCATTACCAAAACGTGACGTGTAAACTCTGCTAATCACGGATTGGCCGGAGAGAATCGTCACTACCTGCGTCACTGAACTTGCAACATGAGACACAACAGAACCGCTAGATTTAAATCAGCACAGCCAGTGAAGGATCGAACGCAACTGTTTTGAACGAGTGCCAAAAAGTTTTGTTGTCTGTTGCGGAAGTACAGACGTTCCTCTGTTGATAGCAGAGGAGCGGATCCAGCGAGAGCTTGATGGGGTGATGCTGAATGAAAACGTTTTTCAGGAGTCGTGGCAGTATAGGCGGCGCAACTAACGACATGTGAATAATCCCGCCCACTCTAAAGCGATACTAAACTGCAGTGGAAATGCAAACCGAGCCGAGTCGAGCCGTGCCGTACTGAGCCGTGCTGAGCCGAGTCGTACCATGCAGTGGAAAAGTGCCATTTTGTTTGGCTCTGACATTGCCACTTCCGTGGCTCAGTGGTAAAGCTCTCAACCACCACACTAGAGACCTGGGTTCAAGCCTGGCTTGTGACAGAAAAACAGATTCAGCCATGGACCCAGAGACACTCGGTTCCAGCGACCTGTTGGCGGTGATCGCCCAACACAAATCATCTTTCCAGCGCCATGAAGCCGTTCTCTGCCAATAGGAGGAGCTGATGGCCAAATACTCTCAACTCCTGGTCAATGTGATGAGTTCCATCCACCAGCTCTTTGAATGGCTCCCTGGTTCTTCACCTTCCTCTGCATCATCCCTGAGTGGCAACAGGCCTACTCCTTTTGCGGAGCCTCGACTACCCCCTCCCAATCCCTTCGCTGGGGATCCTAGTTCCTGCCAGGGTTTCCTCCCTCAGTGCTCCATGACCTTCGAGCTCCAGCCCTCAAGTTTTTCTACAGACCGCTCCAAGATTGCTTACATTATTACCCTTCTCCCAGACAAAGCACTCTCCTGGGCCTCTGCGGTGTGCCAATCCCAGGATGCTTGTTGTGAGTCCTATGTGGCCTTTGATGAAGAGTTCAAGCGAGTGTTTGATCATCCAGTCAGTGGTCGGGACGCTTCCAAGCGCCTGCTTACTCTCCATCAGGGCTCCTGCAGTACAGCAGATTTCGCCACTGAGTTTCGGACAATCGCGGCAGGGAGCGGATGGAATGATGAGGCACTGATGGTCTGCTTTCAGGGAGGGTTGTCTGAGCCCATTCAAGATGAGTTAGCCATCTGAGAACCAGCTGATGATCTCGAGTCCCTCATTGCAATGGCCATCCGCCTGGACAATCGCCTGAGAGAGTGGAGGGTGGCTCGCCGCAAGGCGTCTCAGTCCCAAGTTCCTGTGAGCAGGTCTGGTTCTCCAGTTCGTGTGCCTTTGTCCAGGGCTTCCCCAGTCCCTGAACAGCCCCATGATTCCCCAGAAGACATGCAGTTGGGTCGCTCCAGGTTCTCTCCTAACGAGAGGGAACGTTGCATGAGGGAGTGACGTTGCCTCTACTGTGGGGTTTCCGGCCACTTTCGCTCCACTTGTTCCAAGCTCTCGGGAAACGGGGGTCCCCACCGAGGAGGAAAATTAGAGTTCCTCCTACTAACGCCGTCCTAGCTGTTCCAGCCACTCTGTCCTGGGAGGGTCACCAGCATCCAGTCCAGGCCATGATCGATTCCGGCGCCACAGGCAACTTCCTGGATCTATCCTTAGCTAAGGAACTTAAGATCCTTACCCAACTCCTTCCTCATCCCCAGGCAGTTATGGCATCAGACGGCAGACCTCTGGAACAGAGACCACTTAGTCCCTGCGACTTACCGTCCTTCAACACCAGCAGGAGGAGACCTTCTATCTGTTTGACTCTCCAGAGTTTCCTGTTATCCTGGGTCACCCCTGGCTGCGCAGACATAATCCCCGAATCGACTGATCCGCTGGCACCATTCTGAGCTGGGGTGCCACTTGCCAACTCACCGGACTATTTCAGAGTCCCTCAGCCCCTAGTTCCGAGTTTCAAGAGTCTATTGACCTGTCTTGAGTTCCCAGTTCCTATTATCAGTTTAAGGCAGTGTTCAGCAAGTCCCGGGCCACCTCCTTACCACCTCACCTCATGACTGTGCCAACTACTCCCTGCTTCATGCCCTCCCAGGGTTCGGATTTTCTCCTTGTCTCCCCCCGAGCGCGCAGCTATGGATACCTACATCAAGGAGTCCTTGGTAGCCGGCATCATCCGTGCCTCTACTTCCCCGGCTGGAGAGGGCTTCTTCTTTGTGGGGAAGAAAGATGGGGGTCTTAGGCCGTGTATTGATTACGGGGGCCTCAACAAGATCACAGTTCTGAATCGATATCCCCTTCCTCTCATGGCCACTGCTTTCGAGCTGCTAAAAGGGGCTTCCATTTTTACTAAACTGGATCTACGCAATGCTTACCATTTCGTGCGGATCTGGCAGGGGGACGAATGGAAGACGGCCTACAACACCCCAACAGGGCACTATGAGTGTCTAGTGATGCCGTTCGGCTCACCAGCACCCCCGCTGTATTCCAAGCACTGATTAATGACGTTCTCCAGGACATGCTTAATCTATTCGTCTTTGTGTACCTTGACGATATCCTCATTTTCTTGAGGTCATGGGAGGAGCACGAGGGGCATGTCAGCAGGGTCCTCCAGAGACTTCTTGACAATCATCTCTTTGTGAAGCCTGAGAAATGTGAGTTTCATGTCACCCAGGCTCAATTTCTTGGGTTCATCATCACTAGTGGCCATGTGTAGATGGACCCTAAGAAGACCGAGGCTGTCCTAAACTGACCCATTCCTGCCACAGTCAAGGAGGTTCAACGCTTCGTCGGCTTCGCTATCTTCTATAGGAGGTTCATTAAGAATTTCAGCTCTGTGGTGGCTCCCATGACTGCGCTGACCAAGGGAGGAGGAGTCAAGATTCACCGGGGTCCACAGGCAGTGGGGGCCTTCCAGGATCTCAAGCGCAGCTACACTTCCGCTTCCATTCTCTCAATCCCCGACCCAGAAAGACCTTTCGTGGTGGAGGTGGATGCCTCGGAGGTGGGCGTAGGGGCCATCCTGTCACAAAGGGGTGAGGATGGAAAATTGCACCCTTGCGCCTTCATGTCTCGTCGGCTGTCGGATGCCGAGCACTACTTCCACGTGGGGGATCGAGAGTTGCTTGCGGTAAAACTTGCCTTGGAAGAATGGCGCCATTGGCTTGAGGGGGCTCGGCACCCTTTCCAGGTTCTCACGGACCACAAGAACCTAGAGTATCTCCAGCAGGCTAAGCGGCTGAACCCTCGGCAGGCTCGATGGTCTTCGTTTTTTAATCGATTCCAATTTCTCCTGTCTTACAGACCTGGCACCAAGAATGTCAAGCCGGATGCCCTGTCCCGAGCCTACTCTTCCGAGACACAGAAGAAACCTCTGGCATCGATTATTCCAAGGTCAAGGATCGCTGCGCCCCTTCACTGTGAACTGGACAGGGTGGTGCGAGAAGCCCAGGAGCCGGATCCAGGAGGTGGTCCCACAGGACGCCTGTACATTCCTCGATCTGCCCGGGCCCGGGTCTTGCAGTGGGGTCATGAGTCTCCCTTGACATGCCACCCGGGAACTGCTCGCACACTTGACTTCCTCCAGCGGTGGTTTTGGTGGCCGTCCATCAAGGAGGACATAAAGGTCTATGTGGAGGCCTGCCCCGTGCTGCTTTCGGCCAAAGAGACAGCTGAGCTCCTCATGAACCATGTCTTCCGGGTATTTGGAATTCCCCTGGATATTGTCTCTGACCGAGGGCCCCAATTCTCATCCCGGTTCTGGGGGCCTTCTGCAGGCTGATTGGAGCCACAGACAGCCTTTCGTCCAGTTTCCATCCTGAGTCTAATGGCCAGACGGAACGGATTAACCAGGATCTGGAGACCACCCTGCAATGTATGGCGGCCAATAACCCCGCCTCTTGGGCTACCTACATCATGTGGGCTGAATATGCCCACAACACCCTCCAGTCCTCGGCCACTGGACTATCCCCCTTCGAATGCCAGTTCGGGTATACCCTTCCATTGTTTCCCGTGGAAGAGGCACAGTTAGGCGTTCCCTCTGCATGGCGTTTGGTTCAACGCTGCCGGCAGAGCTGGAGGAAGGCTAGGCGTATCCTTCTTCAGACCTCCCAGAGATACCAACATCAGGCTAACCGCTGCTGCCGGACGGCACCTAATTTCCGAGCTGGTCAAAGAGTCTGGTTAGCCACCAAGAACCTGCCCCTCCGGGTTGAATCGAGGAAGCTTTCCCAGAAATTCATATCCCCTTTTCGCATTGCAAGGAAAGTTAACCCTGTTTCCTTTTGTTTGTTTCTTCCCCGTTCCCATAGAGTTAACGCTACGTTTTATGTCTCATTGTTAAAACCTGTCTTGTCTTCTCCCTTGTCTTGAGTCTTTGCCCTGTGTTTCCTGATGGGTCTCGCCAAGTCATCCCAAGCTACCCCAAGTAGGGTTTCCTGAGTTTCTTTCCTTGGTTGTTTTTGTTCTCTGGTTTTGTTTTCTCCCCTCGTGGAGTTTTTATTTTCTCAAGTGTTTTTTTTTTTTTCACCATTGTTTTTTACTGTTGTTAATTCCTTGGACGATAAAAACTTTTGTTGGATTATTCTTGCAAAGATTTTTTTTTATAAATCTACATTTCCTGGGATACTGCCTCGAGTGTTTCGTTTGGCTTCAACACTACCACTTACGTGGCTCTGTGGTAAAGTTCTCAACCACCACACTAGAGACCTGTGTTCAAGCCTGGCTTGTGACAATAATGGACAGATTTAATGTTATTTAATCGGTAACACTTTAGTATAGGGACCAATTCTCACTATCAACTAGTTGCTTATTAGCATGCTTATTATTAATATACTTGTCACAGTCTTCAGCGGGCGTGCCCAGGATGGCCACCAGATGACACTGTGAGCACATGGCTTGCCCGGCCTGGTACCCTGGTTTACCTCTATCTCCATGCCCTCTTCCACTACACGGGCCTGGCCCACCATCCCTCCCCCTGATCCACCTCCGTTCCGCCTCCCTCCGGGATTTCTTTTGGTGGAGCGTCTGGAATCCGCTCCTTAGGGGAGGGGTTCTGTCACAGTCTTCAGCGGGCGTGCCCAGGATGGCCACCAGATGACACTGTGTTCTGTGAGCACATGGCTTGTGTTGTGTTTGTTTGTTGCCATGTGCTCTCTCCTGTCTATTGTCTTGCCCCGCCCATCTTGTTACCTCATTATTGTTTAAGTTGCTCCACCTGTGTCTCCCTCGCTAGCCTCCTCATTTGTTTTCCTATTTATTCTCCTGGTGTCTGTAATCCTGGGCTGATCTGTCGTTTTTTCATTGTGTGTGTTATGTCTGCATGTAGTGCAGTTCCTAGCCTGCCTGTCTGTTTTTCCCCCTCGGGGTTGTTTTAGTTTGTTTTTGTTTCATTTTATTATTAAAAGAAAGAACATTCATCCTGCACTTGAGTCCTCGCTTCATCTCTCCACACGCACCGTGACAATACTGGCTAGGCTAGGCTAACCAAAAAAAAAAAAAAACGGAAAAAAAAATCCTTTGTTCTGGGAACCAAAAATCATTAGCTGGGTATAACCTGTACAACCAAAATGTTTTATGGGTTGACACAAAGACTGCTGCTGTGGTTCAACCAAGTAATACAAAAGTTAAACAACTGGTGGTTTTGCAATACCAATACATAGAGGTAATGATAAAAAAATAAACATTACAAATGGTACAGTAAACAACCACCTACATTTTTACTGACTACTTGAGATGGATTGATCCTTTTATAATCATTCTGATATTAATAACTTTGCAGGCTTGGTTTAATGACCTGTTCTGGTGGTTCGAAGACTTTTGTGGAATTCAAACAATTCCAATAAAAAAAGGAATGCTTTGGACACCAGACATACTCATCAAAGAAAGGTAAAAAACAACTTCTGTATTTATTTTTCATTTAGAGGGTTAGTACTGAGAGGATGGAAAATGATGAGTAAAAGAAAGGGAAATAGGATGCGGAAATAACACAAGCCACATTAGCTTTGTTTACGCTGTACATCTGATCTGATCTGTTTTGTTTTGTTTTGTTTTGTTTTGTTTTGTTTTGTTTTTCAGTTTTATAGGATTAATCAGTAGGGCTGTTTGTAAAATCAGCTCTGATTCCTGGTTTTGGAATTGATAGAGTCAGATCTGAAATTGAAACTACTTTTTGACTCTTCTTTTTCTTTTTTTTCCACACAGCAAATTCCCTGCTGTACAATTAACGCTGCTGGGTGTCATGGGTCCATTCTACAGAGTGTTAAAGGCCCAGTTTCACAGCAAGGCTTAAACTAAGGCAGGATTAGGCCATGGTTCAATTTGGACATTTAAGTAATTTTTATAAATGTGCTTAGGAAAAGAAACATTACTGGTGTGCATCTTGAGACAAAGGCACTGATATATTTTAATATCAGTCATTGCAAGATTCTTTCAGTTGAAATACATTTTAGTCTAGGACTAGGCTTAAGCCTTGTCTGTGAAACCGGGGGGAAAAGTAACACTGAAGCAGTGTTGCATTTAATTAGATAATTAAGTGCTTAATTAAGTGACAATAGAGCATTAGTGATGAACAGTGATGTTAAAAGGTAGAATCACTGAAGGAAAGAGAAACAAGAAGAACAGAATAAAGAGAATCACAACAACTACAACAGACTTCAAGACACGTTTTCTTCTTCTTCTTGGGAATAACAGATGTTTAGATGTTGATTTATTGAAAGAAAAAATAAATAAATACAAAATATGCTCACGCACACAGATTTCATCTACTGAATAATTTCAACAAACACAGACATCAATCAGCATGAATGTTGGCAGTGGTGACAATGAACACATTCAGATAAACAGTTCAACTCTGAACATAAAACAAGCTAAAGTCACAACAAAACAACAGCAAAATAAAAGTAAATAATGACAATAAAAGAAAAGACAATTTAGCCATATAATTTAGTCATGCTGCAATGCATGCTGGGAGTCATGGATGAGTTTGGCGAGCCACTGGAAGGCAAGCCTGCAACCTTTAGCCAGTGTAATGACTAATGCAGTGTAATGGCTAATTCTATGGATTTGTTTCTATGGCTTCCAGATTTCAACAAATTAATTATATTTTAGTGACTGACTAGTATCAGTATTGTGTATGACCAATGAAGCGATTTTTTTAATGAACAAAATACAGTCTAACTTTAAATTTCACACTTTTTCCCCACTCAGTAGTACATTCTACAAACATTGCATCCTACTGTAGTAGCGATATGATAACAAACATATCATATCATGTAATCTATTTGACACGTCATCTGTTTTAAACTCTGATCATTATATCAGCTGAAGCACCAAAATCACTTGTCTTCTGCAATATGTATTCACAAGACAAGCACATTAATCAACTAGAAACTCTGCAATGTAAACTGTAACTGAGTTCCGGCCACTGACATTACTGCCATTATATGATTGGCTGAAGCACTTCCAAGTGAGCCATTCAGTTTTTTTTCCATTGGTGAGTAATACAGACCCTCTCATCTCCCAATAGTAAGACAATCACTGGTTTTGTACTATGGTGGCTCCCATCATGCATTGCAGCATAAAGCTTTTTGCTGATTATCGTCATTGTAGAGATTCAAAAACTGATTCTTGATACAAATGATATGTGATAATAATGTGATTCTACAAATAATACAGAATTCAAATAATACAGGTTCAAGAATTTCTTTGCACAAAGTGTTTTAAACTCATTAAAATTATTTTATTGTCACAAAATTGTTGGATCTTATGCTGTAGCATCCCTTAGTCTTAGTCTTTGGACTCCCTGTGCAGGTTTACGCATTGCGCAACAATATCCTTCCAGTGTGAAGTGATGAATGTGATCGGGTTGAACAGCTGCGACTGTCTCCGCATCTTCCAGCTTGATGTTAATAATCTGCAGGTCTTTCTTGAATTTCTGGAACCATGTCTTCTTCGGTCTTCCATGTGGTCTCTTCCCTGCAGGTGGTATCCAGTGTTTTGCAGTCTTTGGGTGGTGATCGGGCATACATAGCACATGTCCTGCACATGTCTCGAACTGTGGTTAAAAGTATAGTTTCTTGTTAGTAAGACATATGCACTTAAATAAATTATCACAGACGCTAAGTGCCCTTTTGGTCCAATCTCTGTGGACTGCGGACCAGAGTCTCAGTCAAATGTTGAATGTTGAATCCATATTTGACAAGCTTCTGCCTCAATGTCTCTGCAGGCCTCTTCCATTGTTTGAAGACTAACTTAGTTGTAAGGGTTGTGATTGTACACTTTCTGTCTCCAAGAGGAGAAGAACTCCTCAGTTGGATTCAGGAAAGGAGAATATGGAGGAAGGAACGCCATTCTGATCTGATGTTCAAACACTCTTGCACCAGTGCTGAATGATGAAATTGGACATTGTCCCAGATAACTACGAAATTTCGCTCCATTTGCTGCTGATCAACCTGCGGAAAGAGGATTTCACTGAGGGAGATTAAAAAATGTTGGAGTTTTTCAGTTTTGTACGGGCCCAGGAAAGCATTATGTGCCACATCACCAGTTGTTGAAGTTGTGGCACACATGGTGATAATGCCGCCATGCTTGTTTGAGCTGCAGTTCAGAGAGTCCTGTCAGTTGGATTTAAAGCACGAGAATTCATCAGTTTCTCCCGAAATACATGTAAGTAAGTGGCCAGTGAACTGGGTGAAGAATAGAGTGAACATGTGTCTCTGATATGAAACACATCGGCAAATTAAATTTGAATGCATTGTTGTTGTTGCTTCCATAGATATCTGTGTGTATTTTACTAACTCTTAAATACACATAAGTACTAGTAAAACAATACATTTAATGTATGAAACCTAAAATATGCATTAAGTGGTTAAGAACACTGCATAGTTGTGATAATATGACAAGCGCAGTGCACATCTCTCTCTGGCTCAGCACCAGCCAAAGCGCGAAACCACAGTTTGAATTTGGCAGTTATGCGACGTCACCGAACGTTTTAAATCCCATATGTGGTACCGTACTCCCATGGGCACGGAAATAAAAATCCCATATGTGGGACCGTACTGCTCAAAAGGTAAAAGCCAGCTTCATCAACATACAGTTACCCATAATGAGTTCCACTACTATCCAACTCCAAAATCCAAAAGTTTAAAAAGTAAAAAAAAAAACACATGTTGCCGAACATTGAGGTCTCCCACTTTGACGCAGCACTATACATAGAGATGACAGATTTTTTTCCAGAGTGTAATAGTATATGGACATATAATGTCCAGGAAATACCCATTTTTTATTTTTACAGTAAAAGTGCTAATTTTGTGGCTTTTAATTTTGTGGTACCTGAACAAACTGGAATCGCAACTCCTTCACTCTATTTGAGTTCCTTGCAAAGGTCACTTTATATACTTCTTCTAAGAGTCCTTATAACATGATCAATTGTGAAAGACTGCATTGGTAAATATTATGAATTAGTTGATTGTCATGTATTATTTTTTGCTGGATTTCTTTGAGGTGGATGGTGTTGTTCTGGACCACCATGTCAGCAATGGCGTGTTCTTGATCATTTGAAAATAAGTCTTGTTCATCCAACAAAGTGTTCAAAATGTTGAACAAATAAAAGATTTACAGTAGAGAATTAGAATTAGAAATAGATAAGACTCTAGACTAGACTCATAGAACCAGAATGGCATAGTTACTCACCGTTTTTTCCCTCTCAAATGTGTGGATAATTGAAGCCACTGTGTATCGGTTTATGTTTGGCTAAACTCTCTGGCCAGCTACTCCCAAGGAGAGACTATGATTTATAACATCAGGGTGGCTCTGATTTAATTTGAAACCTGTCTGAACCCCCCCCACCCTGCAGACGTCCTCCTCTTTGTTCATGTCTTCTTATATTTTCTTCTCTTACCACCGTACCATTGCCCTTCAATCTAACTATTTCTTCTGCCTCTACTCCTCTACTCCTCCCCTTCTCCCTTAACTATTCTTGCTCCTTCTCCTCTTCTTACACCCTCTCCTCCTTTTTCCTCTCCTCCGTCTACCTCTTCCACTGTTCTCCATTCTCCCTATTATTACACCCCTTCCTCTACCCACTCCACCACCTCTTGCTCTTACACTTCTTCCTGTTCCCCTTCTCATTCTTGCTCTTGTTCTAATTTTTTCTTCTTATTAGTTTTTTTTTCAATTGCTAACAAGTGTTTACCAATACTTAAAGTACTTTTTCTAAACTCTTAACACAGCAACACACCAACATCACACAATTAGCTAAATAGTTAATTTTCTGGCCAAAACCACATTTTGTTAAATAAATACAAACTCTACATTTCAAAATGAATACCCTTTTCTACATATACTAACTCTATCAAAACACAGCAAACCTGATTCAAAATCGAGTCATTCGGTCAAAACATTTGCACTAGTTTTCTATCCAACAGGAACATAGTTAATCAGAGAGCATAGACTATTCTATTCTAACAATTAATGGCACTACAAAAACTGCATTACTTGTCATGTTTCAGTTTGACTTGTATAGGACAAACAATATGATATCCTTTTAAACAACAGCAGCAACAACAACAATAACAATAATAATAATAATATTAATAATAATTCAGTCATCTGAGCTCTTCATTTTTTGTGTGTGAATGTGTAGATTCATTTTAGATAGTATGTGTACTGCATAGTGAAGGAGTCATCAGTACTTTATGGAATGTAAAAGAAAAGTGACAGAATTGCTGCAGTAAAGGCTTTATTAACAAAATGAAATTTCTGTGTGTGAAAAAAAAAAAAACACAGCCCTTTGCCTTTTGTCCCCCTACCTCTCCTTCTCCCTTGTCAGAAAGTCAGAAAGAGTGTTACAGTTTTTTTCAATTGCTTACTTTTTCTAAACTCTTAAC